GCTGGGGCCAATTGTTAGTTGCCAAGGCTCTGTGTGCCATCCTCTGAGTCGCTTCCTTGTAGATATAATTGACCCATTGATCGGAAAGCCTCCTTCATATGTCCGAAACTCCGCCAACTTCGTGGAAATAATCAAAGATGCTCCCATCCTATCCAACTAGATGGTGAGCTTCGATGTGGTGAGACTCTTCACCAAGATACCCAAGGAGGAGGCACTCTCAGTAGTCAGAGACAGATTGGCCTCTGACTCATCCCGAGAAGAATGGACCAGTATTCCAATAGATAATCTGATGGAGATGTTGACTTTCTGTACAAGAACAACACATATTTATGCTCTGTAAATTTACATAGAGCACTTTTTTGTAAAAATAAAAAAAATATATCAATAAGAACACCGGGTTATATATCTTACTGGTCTTTCTTTTTATTTACACACACACACACACACACACATATATATATATATATATATATATATATTTGGTTGGATAGATGTGAGTTTGTGACCCTGGGTTTCACGCTTTAGCGATCGTCAGACAAAGGATCGCAAAAGCGTGAAACCCAGTCTCACAATCTCACATCAATCCAACCAAATATATATATATATATATATATATATATATATATATATATATATATGTATGTATGTATGTATATGTATATATGAGATAGAGCTAACATATTTGGTTGGATAGATGTGAGTTTGTGACCCTGGCAAAAGCGTGAAACCCAGGATCACAAACTCACATCAATCCAACCAAATATGTTAGCTCTATCTCTGATATTGATTTAAATAATAAGTACCGCGCATATAATATATGAATAATTATACATATATATATTTATTTATATTTATATACACTTTTCATATATATATATATATATATATATATATATATATATATATATATATTGGTAACACCACAAACTCGCTGAAAACACAACTATACTATACTAGATAGCTGACCAAGATTCACGCAAAAAAATTCCGGACTCCTCTTCAACCCAAGAACAATTATTTTGAAGAGCGACTTAGAACCAGATCACCGAAATAAGTTTTTTTGGGACTTTCGTCCAAAGACACACCGAAACGCCAATTTCTTAGAGAGCAAACAACTTGAAGCATTAAAACTCGCCTAACGGAAAACGACGTGTCACAATCCACAGAACGGGTCGGGAGATAGATGCAGTCCTATGTATCCAACAACTAGACATAAAGTTTGTTACCTTTTTTCTTTGATACTTTGAACTTTTTGAGTTTTCATTTTATTTTCTTTTATGCATATTTGTGTAGTATCACCCCCGTTGAACCCGATTTGCATTACGGCCCCAACGACTGATTGATCTCGACTGCCTAAGGTCAATTCACAACGTGGGTGGGCGGACTGGAGATCAATGCAGTTACCTTGGTAACCAGGCGTTGGAAGCGAATTGGGAACGACGAGGCTGATATCAAATCTAACCAGATTCCCACCCGAATCACCAAAAGGTTAGAACGTCACAGTTGGGTGCCGCGACCGATACCAAGCCAGTTGGTCGTCACAGGACGAGACAACACGACTGACGTGACAGGCGGACGTCACGTTTGCAGCAGCGACACCCGAACGGAGCTGCGAGGAGCGAACAACTGGCGTCGCGGCGAGGACATCACAATTGGTGCTGTTTGGGGACGTCACAACTGGCGCCGTGGTAGATCAAGATAGAACGTCACAGTCGGCGCTGCGACCGGGGGACGACGTCACACAAGCTTAATAACATTATCATTAAAAGAAGAAAGAAAGTCACAATATTGATACATATTTTTTTAATCCTATCTAAGTTTCGGCTTACATAAGCCATTATCAAAGATGACAATTACTCTCATTATTGTTTTGTCCGTGTATTGTTTAATATATTGTAATGTAATTGACATCTTTGATAATGGCTTATGTAAGCCGAAAGTTTAGATTGGATTTAAACATGTATCAATATGGTGTTTTCTTTTCGTCCTTCAATGATAATGTTATTAAAATTATCAGACAATATGAAAGGAACTTACTTAAAATAAATAGACAAAAATTATCTATATCGTTTAATGAAACAGGCATATATATATATATATATATATATATATATATATATATATATATATATAATCCCAGTGAGCCAGGAAGAACCTACCATGTTTTATTTTAACAGATATTCAGGGCTAAACTGACTAGTTTAGCCCTGAATATCCATTAGGGTAAACTTTGATAGGCTGTTCCTGGCTCATTAGGATTTTTTCATATTTAGCTCTACTTAGTGTATTGAGCACTTTTACGTCTAATCAATCCATTTTTTTGTTTGTTTTTTGTCTACACGAATGTTTTTAGCCTTTTCTTTTTTTTTCACCCCAGTCGTGTATAGGTATCAATATATATATATATATATATATATATATATATATATATAGCTAATATTAGTGGTAAATATGGTGTGTATGTCTCCACGAAATGTATCTTTAATGTATTAGACATCCGACAACATTCATATTTCTCTCTCTTATACCTCTTCAACTCATTTCTCTAAAACTTCTCTCTGTTAAGTTTTAATCTCTTCTCTCGTCTGTTACCCCTCTCTTTATCTCTAACATTCGTCCCGCACTCTCATACTTACACACTCTCCAAATTCTATAGGTTTTGTTAACCGAAGTACGTTTCGATCTCCTCCGAGATCATCATCAGTGATGAATTGCGATGACCGAATTAAGGAGCCTCCTTGATCAGTTTCAAATTAACATCAAGATTATCAAGATTATAATTAGAGAAATAAAAAAGGATTATTATAAAAATAAATATTCATAATGCATCCAAACACAAATACATATATATGTAAATGTGTGTGTGTCCTGTATATATATATATATATATATATATATATATATATATATATATATATATATAAGTGTGTGTGTGTGACCTAGATTTTGATGTTCGTCTCAAGCGAGCTGTCTAAACTCCACTGAACCAACCTTTGTTTTCACCCACAGTGTGGGGCGTGTGTTCAAACCCTTCTTATTCAACCTTTCTCAAGTGCGAAGGCCAGTAGATGTAATACACGGTGATTAATACAATGGTCTAAACGTCGTGAATATGGCAACGAAGATGAGGACAACAGTCCGAACAATGTAAATAGTGTAAATAATTACAATACCTCATCTAAGAAATATAGACAGATATAGAAGAAGGCCGGAGGCCAACGGCCTAAAGCGAATACAACGGAGATGAGGACAACAGTCCGAACAAGGTAAATAAACAATATCTCATCTCAGAAATATAGACGAATATGAAGAAGGCCAGAGCGTACAAGTCCTTGAACGAAGATGAAGACAGCAGTCCGAACAATGTAAATAAATAAATAACAATACCTCATCTCAGAAATATAGACAGATATAGAAGAAGGCCGGAGCGTACAACGGCCTAAATGTCGTGAATATGGCAACGGAGATGAAGACAACAGTCCGAACAATGTAAATAGTGTAAATACTTACAATATCTCATCTCAGAAATATAGACAGATATAGAAGAAGGCCGGAGCGTACAACGGTCTAAACGCCTTGAATATGGCAACGAAGATGAAGACAGCAGTCCGAACAATGTAAATAGTGTAAATAATTACAATACCTCATCTCAGAAATATAGACAGATGTAGAAGAAGGCCGGAGGGTACAACGGTCTAAACGTCGTGAATATGGCAATGAAGATGAGGACAACAGTCCAAACAATGTAAAAAATTTAAATAATTGCAATACCTCATCTCAGAAATATAAACAGATACAGAAGAAGGCCGGAGTGTACAACGGTCTAAACGTCGTGAATATGGCAACGAAGATGAGGACAGCAGTCCGAACAATGTAAATAGTGTAAATAATTACAATACCTCATCTCAGAAATATAGACAGATATAGAAGAAGGCCGGAGCGTACAACGGTCTAAATTGAATATGGCAACGAAGCCGGGACAGCAGTCCGAACAATGTAAATAGTGTAAATAATTAAACCTCATCTCAGAAATATAGAATAGGCCGGAGCGTACAACGGTCTAAACGTCGTGAATATGCAACGAAGATGAGGACAACTGTCCAAACAATGTAAATAGTGTAAATAATTATAATACCTCATCTCAAATATATAGACAGATATAGAAGAAGGCCGGAGCGTATAACGGTCTAAACGTCGTGAATATGACAACGAAGATGAGGACAACAGTCCGAACAATGGAAATAGTTTAAATAAAATCTCTTTATTTGCAACAAAATTAATTGATCGTTTGTCGTTCACTTTAATTCTCGTTGTTTTATTTCTCTTGTCGCACACATGAAACGACTTCAATCATCTCTTCCGATATTTTCTATTCTACTGCTCTACGGTCGGTCAAGTTACTTTGTCCTAATACACTGTGTACGCTATCAACTGAAACCTCACTGGTTAAAGTTGCATTGCCTCCTCACTTATCTGGATTTCCAACCGAGATTCTCACAGATTCTCTCTCATGTCTCTTCCGGTTTTCTTTGCACTTAAAATACTTCCAAGATTAGTAAACGCCCTTTGGATAGTTTGAACACACTTCGTGGAAATTCCCAGCCGTCTGGCAATCTCTCGCTGTGTTATCTTCCCCTTCAAAGTCAAAACCTTCATCTTTGTTTCAGCAGACATTTTGCCTTGTGTTTGATGTCAAGAAAAACAGAAGTTAATGTTTAACTACAATGACTTAACAAGGCAACTTACGCTAGTGTTAATAAAATGGAACAATTCCTACTTAGAAATTCGCATATTATCTTGACTTTATCATTTCAGATCTTTCGTTGGCCTAATAGTTTTGGTCCGGGGTATAATGATAAACTACATCCGGCAGCAAGACATCTGATGTTTGAAGAAGCATGGAACCACGTCATGATTACTGTTTTTTGCAGGTCCACTCAGATCCGGATTGGTAGCAACTTTTTAGGGTCACAGCAATGGGCAAATAATGAACCTAAAACTAGATAGATTGATATGAACAGACTGAGATAGATAGATAGATAGATAGATAGATAGATAGATAGATAGATATGAACAGACTGAGATAGATAGACAAATAGATAGATAGATAAATAGATAGATAGATATGAACAGACTGAGATAGATAGATAGATAGATAGATAGATAGATAGATAGATAGATAGATAGATATGAACAGACTAATTTAGATAGATATGAACAGACTGAGATAGATAGATAGATAGATAGATAAAGAATTCGTAGATAGATAGATTATGAAGAATGTGAAGATAGATAGATAGATAGATAGATAATAAAGAATGCGAAGATAAATATATAGGCAAAAAATGCGGAAATTGATAGATAGATAGATAGATAGATAGATAGATAGATAGATAGATAGATAATTGGACATGTGGATCTTACGATATGTCAACATTGGATGATTTAATGCTGTAATATGTATTAGATATACTGATATAAAGAAATAGCAAAAGAATGAATGAGAAAAGGAAGAGGAAGAAAAAGAAAAAGCGAAAGTGAAAGTAAAAGAGAATGTTTTCCGCAAATCAGATTTCATTCTTATAGGGTTTCAAACTTGCAGGAGTCAGAGGTGGTCCCTGTCTCCGGGTGCCTATATTCATATGAAGCAATTGAGCAATCATTTTTCCCTGGCGTCAGCAGAATCATGCAACTGGGGGCATTCTGCAAGCGAATAATGGACGGGTCACTATCAGCCACGCTGCTGCTGAAATGAAGAAATCTGTCAAGGTTCCTGATAGCGATTTCGCGTCGGGAGATTTCAAACCGAACAGCAAATTCTCCAAAGATCTTTCTTAATTTGAACCTCAAACTTTATTTGAAGACAAGAAATATTTCCTGAAACTCCAAGCAAACTTCGGAATTGGTTATAAACGTGACAATATCAACGGTTGAAATAATGTCACTGTCTGAAAACATTATATTTATTCGATGGTCGCTCCGAAAGAAATGCTTCTTATTTCATTATTTTAGATAGAGGTTTGGTTTCCAACTTCTCGCCAAAATGGTGTCTATCATCAAAGTATCGACGCAATAGAAAATTAAAGAATGCGTGCACTGATACTCATGTGCCGTCCCTGAACACAGCCTTCGCTCGCTCCTCGCTGCTTCGTTCGGGTGCTGCCGCCCCAAACGTGACGTCCGCCTGTCGCGTGCGTCAGTCGTGTTGTCCCGTCCTGTGACGACCAACTGGCTTGGTATCGCTCGCGGCACCCAAATGTGACGTTCTAACCTTTTGGTGATTCGGATGGGAATCTGGTTAGATTCGACATCAGCCTCGTCGTTCCCAATTCGCTTCCAACGCCTGGTTACCAAAGTAACTGCGTTGATCTCCAGTCCGCCTACCCACGTTGTGAATCGATCTTAGGCAGACGAAATCAATCAGTCGTTGGGGCCGCAATGCAAGTTGGGTCCAAGCGGGGGTGGTATCGCACAAATACGTATAAAAGAAATAAAATGATAACTCAAAAGTTCAAGATATCAAAGAAAAGGATAACAAACTTTATGTCTAGTTGTTGGCTACATAGGACTGCGTCTATCTCCCGACTCGTTCTATGGATTGTGACACGTTGTTTTCCGTTAGGCGAGTTTTAACACTTCAAGTTGTTTGCTCTTTAAGAAATTGGTTTTTTGGTGTGTCTTCGGGCGAAAGTCGAAAAAAACTTATTTTAGTGGTCTGGATCGAAGTCGCTCTTCAAAATAATTGTTCTTGGATTGCGCGAATCTTGGTCAGCCGATGCGAGGCTTGCTTCAACTGAGACTTACTCTGGGAACTGTCTCTCCCGAACTCAACTCTGGAACTCTCTGCTGGAACTGATTTCTGCTCGCTGACTTCGCTTATATGGACGCCGACCACAACCGGGGTGGGTTTGTCGGCGTCGGAGGTTCCTCGATAATTCTAAATACATATCCACTTCTTTTATTTTTGGTTAGGAATTTTCCACTTTTTTCCATTTTTGGGAGCCTTCTCTTACTCCCACCTTCTCACCATACTTCAGAGGGGCGTGAACTGCCTTCCCCACGTCTTCGTAGCAACCTCTCATACCCATCCTCTAGGTGGGCAGCGACAGCTTCCTCCTTGTGTCACCACTCGGCCAATGATATCCAGCCGGGCGTGTGCGATCCCGCGGGCTTTGTTTCAAGGGAAAAAAAATATCTTGCTTAAAAAAAAAAAATTATCTTTTTCTTTTCCTTTTCTTTCTTTAATCGAAGTTCTCATTTTCTCTGGCCGCAAATAGAACAATGCGATCGGTGGTGGTCATAACTCTTGTTCTCACCTGGACTTCGTCAGTCAGATTATCGCTAATTATCAGAATGGGTGGTCTATTTGACACAACACAATCGTCCGTCGCCACCTCGTGTGCGGCTTTGACACAATTAATTTTTCATATCTATCCAAAGCCCTGTAGTTCACCTGTTTTTTGTCAATTATCAAAATAACATTTTCAGTTGGATTTTTCTTTGGCTAGTCGGTCTGTGGTTTGCTTAATCAGATGTTTTCCCGCATTAGCGGTTTGTTTATGTATCCCCGATAACACAGATCGTCGCCAGAACACAACGATTCCCTTATCCACTTAGAATTTTTCTGCCATTGTAATGACAGTTTTTGCCATTTGCTACTTATCAAAATATCCTTATCCATTGTTCTCTAGTCGTGGGTATCCTACTTATCATCCACGTTTGGGTCTCGCCTCTCTTTTCCTTTCTTTCCTTCCTCCCTTTCCTTTCTTTTCTTTTTGCCTTGGTAAATGGTGCCACACTCATTGATACTTGTTGAAAGAAAGCGAAGATAGATAGATAGATAGATAGATAGATAGATAGATGAGAATAAACTGAGATAGATAGATAGATAGATAGATAGATAGATGTAACATTTATGTAATAATGAAGAATGGGAACATAGATAGATAGATAATGAAAACATGAGATGATAGATAGATAGATAGATAGATAGATAGATAGATAGATAAGAATTCGAAGGTAGGTAGGTAGATAGATAGATAGATAGATAATGAAGAATGGGAAGATAGATAAATAGATTCTATTTATTATTGCAAAATCAAAATATTTTCTAAGCTTAACTTAGATGTGGCACAAGGCCGAAGTTAGAGGGCACCCAGTGAGAATCAAACTCACTAATCAGTTGTAATTGTTCTAGCAAGACAAGCTTGCTAACCCTTACACCACCTCAAGGAGCCCAGATAGATAGATCGAGATTTTCATATGGATGCCTTTTAACTAGCCCCCTCAGATTAAGATTTACATATGGATGCCGTTTGACTAGCCCACTCAGATCGAGATTTTCATATGGATGCCGTTTAACTAGCCGCCTCAGATCAAGATTTTCATATGGATGCCATTTAACTAGCCCCCTCAGATCAACATTTTCATATGGATGCCGTTTAACTCGCCCCCTCAGATCAAGATTTTTATATGGATGTCGTTTTACTAGCCCCCTCAGATCAAGATTTTCATATGGATGCCGTTTGACTAGCCCCCTTAGATCAAGATTTTCATATGGATGCCGTTTAACCTGCCCACTCAGATCAAGATATTCATATGGATGTCGTTTAACTAGCCCCCTCAGATCAAGATATTCATATGGATGCCGTTTAACTAGCCCCCTCAGATCAAGATTTTCATATGGATGGCATGCATGGCGTTTAACTCATTCAGAAATATCTCACCTGTCAGCTGTATACAATCGCTTCCTAAGATCAATGTTGAAATTAAAAGTCAAATTAAGGTTGAGGGTCTTGGCTAAACTTCTGGCGCTACAGATTCACTTAAAGTGAACTGTGTCAAGTAACAGAAATTACATCACTTGAGGTGTACCAACGGCAGAAACAACTAAAATGGATAACACATGTAACTCGAAGAAAAAATATCATGAATTAACATTGACATTCCACACCACTTGAAACAAAATGTCAGGAAGAAAACCCCCATCAATATTGGAAAGCTTGACACGAGCTACTGTGTTTGAGAAACCTGGTTTCCTGAAACATTGTTTTAAGAGAATCATTTAATAAATTTCAACCAAAATTAGTACTGGCTGCTTGTTCAACGAATGGCTAATGTTTCCTTGTAGGGAAACAGTTAATATTACCATTACTAACAGAATGCATGCATTGATGATCAGGTTTATTTTCAATTCATGATTTATTTGGCTGGAGGATTTTCCACAGTAGGCTACCATTACTTTCAGCGGTAAACTGGTTGCCATCATAAGGTTATAAAATCCAGTTTCACCTGGTATTTACCGCATAGCTGAAGGGGAAGGGTAGCTTCGTGTAAGTGAACATAACTAACTCTGCTCGAATTCAAACCCACCTATTTGTCAGTCTCAGTTATTACCAATCCTAAGTTGCCATCCATCTTGGTACTGACCTGGTTCAACGTTGCTTAACGTAAAAAAACGTAGGGAAACTGCTCACTTGATAATGAAACTGATTTTTCCATCCGAAAGGAAACTTTGTTGAAAACGTGAAAATAGCTTTATCTATCTATCTATCTATCTATCTATCTATCTATCTATCTCAGCCTCTTCATATCTATCTATCTATCTATCTATCTATCTATCTATCTATCTATCTATCTATCTATCTCGGTCTATTCGTATGTATCTATCTATCTATATATTAGGGTTGGTGCAAAAATAATGACGTAATAATGTCGTTTTTGTTCTTTTCTACGTCAAAAAACGACATTCTTACGTCATTATTTTTGCACCAACCTAATACCTCTACAGGGTGCGATGGATAAATTGGCATCTAAATTACGCAAAAAAATGAAAATAACACTGACATCGCATTTTAACAGACATATTTACCAAAATTGCACAAAAATCATCTTCAAATATTAAAGAGTAAATTTATTCACTAAAATTGCAATTGGCTTCACCACGGCCTCCAAACAATATCGAAACCCCTGCAACTCTTCTGGATTGTCTCCTTGCTGAAGTTGGTGAATGTTGCTATAATCCTTACCATCAGTTCATCTTTGACGCTACAAGGTGTTTTGTTGACCTCTCGATCAACAGTGCCCACACATAATAATCAAGGAGATTGCAGTCGGGGGAGTTATGTGGCCAGATGTAAGGTTTGATAGCGTCGTAGAAATTGTCGGACAGCCATAACTGGCTTCTCCTGCTTGTGTGGCATGCTCCAGAGTCCTGTTGCCAGACATAGGGTTTTCCAGCAGTTACCCTCTTGGCCTAGGGCAGTAGTACCTCCTAAAAGCCTTTGATGTCGGCCTCTATGATGAGTCTGAGGTCGTCACTCATCAGAACGATCACTGTGTGTTTTCCGAGCTGCCGTACCTTCGTCATCACCATTCGACTCATCCAACTCTTTCCGAATCATTTGCACTGTCTGCAGATTGATATACAAACACTCTGAAATGTTCGTAATGCAGCTTCCAGCACGGATGCCAAATAGTACAGTATACCGTTTCCAAATTTCTGGCAGAGTGAATTGAGTCGTAGTGAGCTTTTTCTCACAAACGGTGCCAATTTGACCTTACTATACAGTGGATTTACCCATAGATCTATCTATCTATCTATATATATATATATATATATGGGCCCTTGGATATTTATTCAGTTTGAAATTGTCGAACATTGCTTAATTCTACTGATCGGACAAGAGCCAGTATTTCTACATGAGATCGACGTAATTGATACACCATAAAAATAATCTAATAATATAGAAATTAGAATCTTGTTGTTAGCAAGAGCTTTTAATTTGAAACATCAAACAAAAGGTCTTCCTGAAGAATTGTTTCAAGAGAAAGATTTTATAAACTTCAACCGAAAGCAGTACTAGCTACTCGGTCAATGAATGCCAAATGTTTCCTTATAGGGAAACGGCTAATACTCCCATTACCATTATATGACTTCGGTATGAAGAGAAGTTCAAGAAGGCGATAATAAAGTTGGAAGGTGTTAAAATAAACACAACGATTTATTCTAAGAATAACGTTTCACTGGCAAAGAGGAAAAAAGATAAAAATGAATTTTACGTTAAAAAGAAAGATGAGGAAAAGCCTATGAAAAGCGTAGGTAAAATAAAAATAAAAATAGATAATGAGATAAATAAATAAATAAATAAACAAGCAAGCAAAAAAAATAAGTTTTCCGTGGAGAAAACCAGGCATATGAAAGTGTCTATTTGCCCGTAAGGAGTTCGTTTACGCAGACCACAAGATGGCTGTCTGCACGCATGTTCATTTACCGCGTAAGATCTTTGGCATGTGCCAAGGTGAAAACGCTTCTTTTTTTCCCAACGAACAGTCATTTCCTAATGGGAATAACGCGCTTTCTTTCGGGACATAGACGTTAAGGAATGCCACCTGCGGAGAAGAATTTTGACGAACTGAAGTTTCCTTTCCTCGATTGTTCACAGAAATCACGAAAACTTCTATAAAAATTAGAAACGTTTCATTAAAAAGACTTGCGTCAATTTTCTGAGATGACGAATTGTAATTATTTATACTATTTACATTGTTCAAACTGTTGTCCTCATCTTCATTGCCATATTGACGACGTTTAGACCGTTGTACGATCCGACCTTTTTCTATATCTGTCTATATTTCTGAGATGAGGTATTGTAATTATTTACACTATTTATCTTGTTCTGACTGTTGTCCTCACCTTTATTGCCGACTGAATAAATGGTTCGGTTCGAATTTCCAAGAAATATCACCTCATGAAGGTCGTAGAGTACAACGGCCGAGGCGTCGTGAGTTGGGTAATAAAGATGATGTAGTTAGTCCAATCAATGTAAAGCGTGTAAATAACACTATATGCATTTCATTCTAAAGAAAAATAAACGATTTTTGGAGCGTGATTTTTTTCACAGATTCTGAAAATATTATTCTTTTGTATAAATCGACACTTGTTAGTACATATATTATTCAATCCTTTTTTTTCTATCTATTTGATCTAGTAATTATTTTAGTATTTTGATATAGTTTTATATTTGATATAGTATTCTACTATTTGATATAGCAATTATTATAGTATATTATATCGTATTATATTTTATATATTATTATATTATTTGATATTTTATGATTATAGTATGTGATACAATTTTATATTTAATATAGTATTTTCCTATTTGACATAGTAATGATTATAGTATTTGATATAGTATTATATTTGGTATAGTATTATATTTCGTATAGTATTATAGTATTTAATGTAGCACTAATTATGGTATTTGATACTGTACTTTATTTGATATATAATTAAATTATTTGATATAATAGTTATGGTAGTATTTGATATAGTACAATATTTGATGTAGGATTATATTATTTGATATGTTAATTATTGTAGAATTTGATATAGTATTATAATATTTTTGGACACTATTCTGACACTGCTAGTATAAAATTGGGATAAAAAGGGTTCATCGGAAAACCCTGTATATAAATGGTAGAATTGGAAAGGCTAAAAACTTTAAACACGTTATGGTGAAAAATGAATGGAAATATAAAGCGAAAAGAAGAGAGATATTTTTCTTTCTGATAACCAGGAACGCTGAATGAAATAGGAAATTAATATCGCAACCGAATGACAAATGTAATTGCTAGAATTCGCAAATTCGATAATGTAAATAATATGGAGTGTCTTTTTGTAAACGTGCAAAATGTACAGGACATCATATGGGTCATATTGGAAAATCGACAACAAAGGTAATTCTTTGACGTCAAGAACATAGAAATAATTTATAAACACAATGTTTGTTATCGGAAAATATTTTTTTGTATAAGTAAGCCGATCGAGACTCGATTGTCGTCATGATATAAAAAGGAATATTAAATAAAAAATTTTTTCGAAGAACATATTGTTTTGAATATCTGACTGCTTTGTTTGAAAGTAAGTGTCGTTTCTCCAAAAATGAGAAAATAATTTATATGAATATTGACTAGTCCTGATATGCGATAGGAGTCGGGCGAAATACATATAAACACATCGCTTAAGCGACCCAGCAGTCGGAGCGACAGCCGCGGACAAAGAAGCTGCTGAACCCCACGTGATCTGCAGGCAAGATAATTCCCGACCGACCTCTTTGTTGATTGAATCCACTCCATCTTATAGAAGGAACTGACTAACGATAAAGAGTGTAACAGGAAGGGTTAATCTTGCTGTGATCAACAACTATATAAACCAATTAACCCGGTGACCTTCTTCGTTATTTTGTTATGTTATTTTA